GCGGCTCCGGCTCCGGCGGCAGCGGCGGCGCGGGCGCACTCGCCCCTCCTTCCCGGCGGCGGCGGCTCCAGCCGCTCTCCGGGCCGCGGTGGGTTCAGTGACTCGCCACCGCGCTCCGACTGTCCCTCTCCTCGCCCTGACCGGCTGCTGCTTAAGAACCGACTCCGGGGTGATGTCACTGTCGCCCCACCCCCCACGACCGGGCTGCTCCCCCTCCCCCTCCTCCGTCCCTCCCTCCTGCCCTCCCCGTCACTCCGCCCACCTCCTCCCGCCCTCCTCCCGAGAAGGAGACGCGGCTCCAGCGGGAAGCAGGATGGCTGCTACCTGAGGCACCATCGGCACCTCCTCCCGAGGCCCAACCACCCCTGTCCCCAGGTTCACCTGGGCCTACCCCTGCCCAGATGGCCACTCCTAACCTGTCCTTCCCCGAGCTAGAAGAGCCGCTCCCCTGGCTGCCCTCCAGCCATCCTTATCCTCCTTTCTCCTTCTCCTCCTCATTTCTCCTTCTCTTCGATTCCCGTCCAGGGGGCTGGGGCGGGATTGGGTACCAGAAGGGATGCGGGGTGCTTGGGCCTCCTGAAGGGCTGGGCCCAGCTGGCCACAGGGAAAGGTTGGGATGGGGATGTCTGCCTCCAGGTGTGCTGTGGGGCTTTGTCACAGGCACCATCCTGCCTCCTCCTGGCATCAGCCCTTCCCAAGGGGTGCAGCCCTGGAAGCCAGAGTTCAGGGTCCCAGTGCGTGGGGAAACAGGTCTCTATGAGTCTTTTAAGGGGGACATGGGGAGCCCGTCTGGCTGAGGTGCAAGGCTACATTTTGTCATTAAGGTGGGCGGGGGTGGTAGGGACGCCCCCTGCCCCCATCCCTGCAGGAGACTCAGGTAGGAATCGGGTAGGCTGCCCCCTGGTGCTAGTGGGTGCACAGACCTCAGGGGCCTCAGTTGGGGGTTCCCAGCTCCTCACTCTTGACACGCCTCTCCCCCGGGGACCTCGCCTCGAGCCTCCCGGGCAAGAGCAAGGTTGTTCAGCTGCCTCTCCGCTAGCAGCTGAGCAGCCTGTTTGGAATTTTCAGGGCTCAGAGCAGTCATGGGGTGGGGAAGGAAGGGATCATTGTCCTGGTCGGGTATGTGAAGTGTGCCCCCCCAACCCTCCCCAAGTCCCAGGCTCACTGTGGTCCCCAGATGGCTCATCCCATTAAGCTAAACCCTCAGCCATCCGGTGGCTTTAAGAAGTAAAGCAGTTCCGGCTGGAGCCAGATTGAGCCTGCTAGGTGAGGGAGGGGCAGCATCTTCACCCTGGCTGGCTGGAGGAGCCTCAAGTGGCATGTGGGGGAGATGGGAGGGATTGAGGGGGGCTTGGAGACCCTCGAGCTGTTAGGGTCGCTCTACTTATCAGAAGACCCCAACTTGAGCCTTCTCTTGCCCAGGACTGACGCTGGCTTGGCTATAGAGAGGCAATAGGGAAGTAGGCGACCCATAAATGGCCCGGGGAAGCTGGCCCCATAGTGAGGGCTGCTTCAGCGGAGAGGCCAGGACAGAGGCCAGACAGCTCAGGGAGAAGCAGGGGGAAGTGAGGCCGCGTCTGGGTGCAGGCGACTCAAGATCACGCTTGTCCAAGGAGCTTGTGGAGAGAGAAAGCCGTGGCTGGAGAAGGACGTGGGCCAGCCCACGCAGCCCATGGTGCTTTGGGGAAGTGGCCACAGCTTCCGGGAGGGCGAGGGCGCGGGGTGAAAAGAGCAAGGCGGGGCAGCCTGACAAGGACGGAGGGAGCCAAGGGTGGGGCCCTCCATCGCTCAGCTGGGAGGGGAGGCAGGCTCCAAGGCTGGTGGCTGGACCTTGAGGGTGTAGCCACCTGTGGCTGCCGCTGCCTCTGTGGGGTCAGAGGCTGAGAGGGAGGTGGCTGGGTCGGAGTGGCTGCTGACAATGGGCTTATGTGAGCTCCGGGACTCCTGTGGCCGAGGCTCTCACTGCTTCAGGGACGGCTGCCTTCAAAGGGTGTCTCCATATAGTATTCATTTAAAACACAAGAAATAAAAAGTTATAGGAGTGAAATTAAATGACATTTTGCAACAATATGGACAACATTTTGTGGCTTGCGTGTAAGACTCATTGTTGGCATAGAATTTAACTTAGCGGTGGAGTATATGCCTTCTGTGTAATAGGTTACGAATTCCACTTTTAGAATTTCCACTGCCATTGTTGAGGGATGCTAGCACTAAATCAGTATTTTCAAATTTGCTAGATTTCATTTTATTCAGGTCAATTGAAGTGCCATGAACTATGAAAAAATAAAAGAAAAAAAGGGTGTCTCTAGATGTTGATGTAGGGGACTCCTCATCTGGGGGGGGGTGTGCAACGGGCTGCCAGACCAGACAGTGCCACACCCCCTCCCTCCCCTTCCCCCAGTCTTCCTCAAGCAGGCAATGTCACCACTCCCCTGGTCACTACTCCTCGAGGCCCATGCGCTACACGCTTCTCCTAGCGAGCAGCACACCTCTGACCAGTCCCTCCCCACCC